GAGTCGGATCAGAAGTACACGTAAATATTCTGGCGTCATTTCGGGCAGCACGCGTAGACCGCAAAACTTGACGGTGAGTTTATCCCTGTGTAGATCGAAAACCGCCGCCTCAGGTATCAATATTTTTCTAATTAACCTGAAATAAGATCAAATTCATGAAGAAAAAAATTACCGTACATTTTACCAATCTTCCAATTAAGTTCAATCTTTAGATTCAGAAGTTAAAGACGAAAAACTCTGATCAAATGCTAAATACCTTCATTAAGCCGCTGCAAATGTTCCGATAACCAAGCAGTTACGTTGCTGAAAACAAATAATAAAACAAAAGATGTCACAATGATCATTCGCAAAGAAATGACTGTAGCATTTAATTAACTGAATATTCGCGAAAAGCCATTGCGGTTCCGGTTATGCATCAACATCGAATACAAAACACTGTCACTCTGAGGTGTAAAATTTGACGAGACATTTAATCCGCTCTCATCGCATTGCACACCTTCATAATCACTTGCAACAGAGGCACAATAGACGGTTACTTACCTGTTCTTGGTTTCTGTAATAACATCTGATGCAGACAGTTACAAAACGAACCGCCATATTAAATGGAAGATGTCAGAGATGGAAGCAGACAACAGCGTCCACACAGCAACCCGGGTTGTACAATTTCTGTTCACTGTCACATAAGACAATGGGCTTTCGGATGAATCAAGACGAACTGTAACCCTGTTCGCTCATCTCAGACAGCATGGCACTGCATCAAACCAAAATCTGGAATTACCAAACCATACTAAAACATCATACTAGCACTGCCGTCTGGAAGGCAATAATTTGCTACCCGTTTTTTGGTTAGTTGCGCTGAAGTAACTTGAGATAAACTGCTTCATCGCGGTCAAGACAAAGATCGTCCCTTATCCGGAGATTTGGATTCTGTATCCAAGAAGTTTTTTCAAGCTGGCCTCCTTGGTCTTTTTGCCAGTTAAAATCAGGTGCTAGATTATTAAAATGAAATATAAACATTTTCCGCCGTGCCGAAAGAGCCATATTAAACTGCATTTTCACTACGACTACAGACGAAGAAACAAATGATTCAATATAAGACATGGATATGCATAGCTGATGTTATTAAGAACCGAAAGGCAAAATCATAAGACCAGTTTCGACTTGTATCGCTGTTCGACGATATCGCTCACTTTCCAAGTAATAAAAATTTGGCCAAGCATGAAAAGCTTATTGCCAACATCGACCAGAGGTAAAGCAACAATTGTGCAAATTAATCGTCCCAACTGCAAATCTGTAAACTTTGTATTTTGAACACAGACAACCGGCTCACCTGTTGCAGGGTCTTACTATAGC